TTTACAGTTGAGAAGTCTGGCAAACACTGCCTTAATTGAATGATCAAAGTTGACATCAGAAATACTGTGAAAATTTGAAATCATATGCCAACTGTTAAGAAGCAAAAGCAAGGGAAACAAAGCATCACTTCTATAATACTCCATCCAAAGATGCACAACATGGATGAAAAACAAACCCTAATTAAGAACATCCTACAAAATAAGTCTGCCCAGTAATCTTAAAAACTGCTGATGTCATGGAAATCAAGGAAAGACTGGGGAACTCTTCCAGACTGAAGAAGACTAAAAAGATATCTAAATGCAACACATGGGTGGTACTTCCAGATGGCACAATGAGCTTCTCTGAAAAATCTGCTCCTTCTTAAAAGCAGTGAAGAACCTGAAAAATGTGTCAAAATCATATCTTTTGGAACTCTTGAAATTAACCAAAGACCTGCAACAGCCCAAAAAGTGTTTATTCAAGAAAAACAGCTAAATATTGGTAAAAATAGTGAGCTTTATGGCATTTTAACTTGTCCTAGTTTCATCTTCCATTGCCCAGCTCTGCAGAAGCCTTAAAAAGCAGCTGCACTACAAACATAGTAGCTGTGAGGACCATCATCCTAGCAGCCACTAGGAGGGGCAGAACTGGTTTGAAGCTTATTAATAAAGTCCCATCCACACAGAATTATCACTATTTGACCTGTGACTGAGTGTCATGGGAAAGCCCCATTCACAGGAATTATTATTTGACATGATTCAGAGTTCACTCAGTGGGAAAAGTCTTGTTTCCAGAGTATTTGTTCAGAATGTTAAGCGGCAATTAATTAACATAGCAGCTTCTCAAAGGAGGAAAAACACAGCACGATAACTTGAGATGAAGGATATGGTTTTGAAAAGCACAATATAAGAAGAAGAATAATATAGAATGCTTATTGTGGATTGCATTGTGTCCTCCAAAAACATATGTTTAAATTAGTCCCCGGTACCTGTGAATGTGACCTTATTTGAAAATAGGGTATTTGCAGATGTAATCATATTAAAATGGGATCACTGGCTTAGAGTAGACCTTAAATCCAGTTACCGGTGTCCTTATAAGCAGAGGGAAATTTGGACATAGACACACAGAAGAGACACACTCAGAGAAGTAAGAAGACTATGTGACAATAGAGGTAGAGATTGGAGTGATGCAACTGCCAGCCAGGGAACACCAAGGATTGCTGTCAATCACGAGATGCAAGGAAGAAGCAATGATTCTTTTCCAGAGACATGACAGAAAACGGTCCTGCCAACACCTTGAGTTCAAATTGCTAACCTCCACAGCTGTGAAAGAATCAATTTCTATTATTTTAAGCAGAATTAAAGCAACAGTATGTGGCAATTTGTTAAAGCAGCCATAAGAAACTAATAGAAGTGGTTATGCCAATTACAGCAAACAAGAAGCTGGACAAAAACTGAAAAGGAAGATATGGAGAAATAGTTGTCTATAAGGGCCTTTATAAAGCTCCAAGATATTCCTGAGAATCTAGGAAGTTATATGATTGTGTAAGGCTGCTTACTTCCCAGTAAAGATCTCAGAAGGCTCTAAGTTGTCACCTCTGAGTAACACTGAGGCCCTGCAAAAGCACTAAGTGAATCCAAGGCAGAACTGTAAACTGAGAATTGAAGGTCTGCTCCAACACCAAGCAGTGCCCTTTCGCAAAGGAATGAAAATGTATTGACCTAATCATTAAAAAAAAAAAATCTATTAGCTGACCACCAAGCTAACTGAACAGTGTTAGAAGTTAGCTCAGTGGCCACATATGCAGGAGAATATAGACTTCTTAGAATCAAGCAAGGAAAGTAACTGAACTAACAGCAGCAACAGCAAACTGTGGTGTGGCTGTCAGAAAAGAGATGGACAGAGCTACCACATCGTATTATATAAAACATCTAGTTTTCAATAAAATGTTATGAGTCACACAAAGAAATAGAAAAGCAGTCATAGAAAAGAAGCTTAAATAGCAAGAGGAAAAACAACTCAAGATGTAAAAGGGATCCTTAATAAAATGAACAGCTGACTTCTATCAGAAACTATGAAGTTCAGGAGGCAGTAAAATGACATAAGCAAAGTGTTAAAAGGAAAAAACTGTGCCACTACACTCCAGCCTGGGTAACAGAGTTAGATTCTGTCTCTTAAAAAAATTGCATGAAGCAATAATTATAAAATTGTTACGGTGTAGAGATATAATATGATTAACAGGAATAGCACAAAGAAGGAGGAAAAGAATAGTTACATTGAAGCAAAAGTTTGCAAACTATTAAAATTAAGTTGATCTTCATCCTAATTAGTTTTTAAGTTAAGATATTAATTGTAATCCTCAGGGTAATCACTTGAAAAATAATTTTACAAAAGGAAAAGAGACAATACAAGAATTAAAATGTTAATTTTAAAAATATTTACCTGATAAAAAATAAAACGGTAACAAAGAACAAAAGAACAAAAAAGCTATAAGACATGTGGAATACAAATAGAAAACAGTTAATGTAAATCCTCTCTTATCAGTAATTATATTAAACACAGCTGTATGAAATACTTTGATCAGAAGGCAGAGATTGAACAATGGATTCATTTTTAAAATGGTCAAAATATGAGCTGCCTATGAGACACAATTTAGATTTAAAAGCTTACGTGGTTGCAAGCTAAAGAATGTAAAGGCTCATGCCAAGCATAAAGGCAACCACAAGACAAATAATATCACACAAAATGGAATTTAAACAAGACCCCTCACTAAAGATAAAGGAGGACATTTTATAATGATAAAAGGGCTCATCTTTCTGGAAATAAAATAAACATACAAGCACCTGACAACAGAGCCCCAAAAATATATGAAACAAAACCTGGCAGAATTGAAAGGAGAAATAGATAACCTAATAATAACAGAGACTTCGATAGCCCACTTAAATAATGAAGCTTACAAAATAAAATATATTAAATTTCAAAATTGAAAAAATGTTTATAGATAAGAATATAAAGAAAGAAAATATTTTTATACAGTTGTACAATGTGTTCGTGTTTCAATCTAAGTCTTATTACATGAGTCAAAAAGTTAAAAAAATTTAAACGTTTTTAAAGTAAAAAAGTTACAGTGAGCTTAGTTTATTACTGAAGGTAAAATTTTTTAAAATAATTTTAGTGTAGCCTAAGTGTATAGTGTTTATAAAGTGTCTGAGGTCTTCACATTCACATTGACTCACCGCTTCTTCACTGACTCACCCAAAGAAACTGCCAGTCCTTTAAAAAGCTCCATTCATGGTAAGTGCCCTGTACAGTAAGGGATATCATTTTTAATCTTTTATACTGTAATTGTACCTTTTCTATGTTTAGATCTATTTAGACACACAGATACTTACCCCTGTGTTAAAATTGCCTATAGTATTCACTGCTGTGACATGCTGTACAGATTTGTAGCCTAAGGGGGTAATAGGCTATACCATCTAGGTTTTTGTAAATACATGCTATGATGTTGACACAAAATTGCCTAAAAACACGTTTTTCAGAATGTATCCCTATTGTAAAGCAATACATGGCTATGCATACACACACACATAACAGTTCAGCTCAGTTATAGATAAGGCTATTTTTCAAATTACAAAAGAAAGCATCATATATTCTACTCAAATTGTTACCTTCTCTACTGAGAGATAATGTGAAGAGAAAAGATAAAACACCAAGACTGAGATTAACTGAGATATACTCTGAAAGTCTGGTTGGGGAACATGGACAAGCCATTTACTGTACTTACCTGATTTTTTATTTCACTTGTAAAATGATATTTAACATTCATTCCTTTGAATGTTGTTAATTCTAATTTTCTGTAACTTTATTTAAATGTAACTATTTAGAAACATACTTAGTATATAAGGCAAATTACCTATTGTTTTATTATCTTAATGTTATCCTACCAAATATATGTATTTATATTTAGAAAATGAATTTATGGATTGAGCTGCTTTTTTAGTATTATAATTGTCACTTACTAATTGTAAGTCTATTTTCTGTTGTATACATTGTGCACTCAAGAACACTGAAATAATTCTGTGAAAATAAAGGGTAAACTTCTTTCTGTTTTTATTCCTCCCTGTTACTAAGCTTGTTTCTCTGCCTCTCTCCATGCACCAACCCCGACACTCTTAAAGTCTCAGCATACTAATAAAAGTGGGTTATCTTCTAGGGACCTTGATTCCACTAGACAGTGATTTTTATTATGTCTTAATTATTTTTCAAAGGAGTGCTTCATTTAGATTACTTTTTAATACCCCCCAGTCATAATAGGATGATAGATTTTTTTTTAATTTGTCACTTATTTCTTATACTATTATTTCTTGTGGAAAGCTGTTTACCATGCCTTTGCCCAGGTAAATACTTGTAAAATTATAATCATTCCAAAATGAGCATGTATTGTTATTGTACACATTCTTATCAAGAAAAAAAGAAAATGGCTTGGTATTCAAGTTTTTCCATGGGTTCAAAAATGCACAAGAACCTAGCAACTTTGGAAGAAACCCAGCTTACTTTTGCTTTGATGCAATCAGAAGATTGCAAATCAATACTTAGTATTAACGTTTTAAATGAGAATTCACAACACCATAATTCAAAATGAGGATGAGCATCTTGATGTTTAGGAGAGGGCTATTTGGTTGAGGAGGTCATTACACCAGAGAGCACAAACATTGAAAGGTGAAAATGTAAATCATTTGTTTCCTTGGGCAAGGACATACAGTAAACACTTGAATTGGTGGTCAACTATAATTTGCTTCTAGAGCCAGCAATTCTAGCAACACTACACTTTGGATTTGTAGCAAAGCACACAAGTAGTAGAGACTTTGAAAGCAAAAGATAAAAGAACCAAGGGAAAAGTTACTGGTTCTTAAAGGTCTGTGTCTCATTAGAGGGACTTAAGGACCTTTCCCTCAATCTAAAAGCAGGCTACCCTCAGCTGTTCCTAATTACTCCTGGAGGAAGCAATGATATTTGAGTCTGGGTTATCAACAATCCTTTATTTTTTTTTTTATTTTATTTTTTGCTGGGGATTTCAAACCAATATACCCCCAGCCTGAACAATATAGATTTCCTTTCCGTCCTGGTAGAAACTATTTTTTAATGTAAATTATATTGTCTTCTATTCATTTCCAATGTCTTGAAAAGTTCAATCACTTCTCCATATCCTCCAGAATAAACCAGAAAATATCTCTCCCCAGCACTACCTGGTCCCTCAATAACACCATCCTAAGGCACTTCCACTTCCTTCATCTTCAGGGAAGGAGTGTGCAGTTCTGATTTAGCTCCTCAGTGGAGTAGACTGAATTTAGAGGAAGGGGGATTTCTGCAGAAATCGTCAGTTACACAAGTAAGTTCCTCTTGGTTCCCTCTTTCATCAAAAGTGAAAAACTGTTCACAGGAGTGCCCGTGTCCCATTTCCTTATGCATCACTAGAGCCAGGAGGGGACCCCGCCAGCAAGGCGCCCTCTGCTCTGTCCCGAAGACCACAGTCCCCGACCTTCACCCCATTGCTTGTGCAATGTGCAGAACTGGAGCTCAAAGCTGCGGGCTCAGCATCACTCTCCAGGCCCTGCCGGCCCATAGGCCCCTTCCTTGGCTGGGAAGAGGGGCCCTTGTGAAAGCAGAGCTTGAAAAGCCCCAGCACTGTCATGGTCAATATCACCAACACTACTACTGCTATGCTCACAAGTATGAAGACCACGGTGGAGGAGGAGTCGAAAACCTGAGGAGTGGCAGAGGAAATCGTAGAATTAAACTTGGAAATCACGCTCCCTGATGGGGTGATGGTGGCCGTTGACTCGGCTTGAAGGGACACTTGACGAGTAGACATCGTGCTCTGTACTCCCCACTGAAGAATCTCAGAAATAGATGTTACTGAATTGTCTTGTTCAGGGACAAGTGGTATCTCTCTCGGCTTCTCGTCGACACTGCTTGACCACGTTCTCTCTAGCACGGGGCTGGCTGCAGTGGCCGGTGGGCGCCTGGTGGGCAACCTGGTCCCCCCAAGGGTCGGCTGTCCTTCCCCACTGTTCACACAAGAGTGTCCATCCTTCCCCAGCTCGAAGCCAGTAGCACATTCGCAGGCAAAGTCTCCCAAGTCGTCTAAGCAGTTAGAGAGCTCTGCACATTTGCCAGCACGGAGGTACCTCCCGGCGCAGGGACAGAGCACTTCGCCCGAGGGGAGTTTGTCCCAGCGAGCGCCGATTTCGTCCGCGATGCAAGTAAATGAGACGGGGAGCTGTCCCGGGCAGAGCGCACTCACCGCGGTCCCCGGGGGACTGAAGTCCAGAGCCGCACTGTGTAGCTGGAAGGGGGCGCGATAGCTCAAGTTAGAGGCGGCCCCGGGGCGTGGTGCAGGACACAGGACCTCAAACTGGTACTTGCACAGGTAGCCGTTGGCGCGCTGATGGCATCGCATCTCCTTCCAGCCCGCGGGCTCGACCCCACCGGTGGCCTGGAGTACCGCGCATTTCCGCGCGGTGCAGGAGCGGTGGGGCTCCTCCACCCACTGCAGCGTGTCGTTTTCGAACCCGCCGGCGTCGGAGGACAGCCAGGAGAAACCCCGCAAAGGCTCGTTCTCCATGGTGCAGTGGGAACGCCCGCGTTCCAGCGCGACCCAGACCAGCAGGTCTTTGGAGCCCCCTCCTGGCCCTGGGCCTGCCCGCAGGAGCGCGAGCACCGCGCGCAGCTCGGCGCCCCCACGCACGGTGCTGAGCGCCCCGCCGCGCAGGATGCAGGCCTCCTCGGCCGCCTGCCGCTTCATGGTAGCGTGGTGCAGGCTGTAGCAGGCCCCCGAGGCCGAGCAGCCAGCACGGTCGGCAGTGGGGTGTTCGCCGCCGCCCGGCCCGGGCCAGAGTGCCTGCCAGAGGAGCCACAGGGCGAACGTCGGCCTCATTCTCAGAGGCCCCGCACTAGAGCTGCTCCCAACTTGGATCTGTCCCGCTCGAAGACGCGGAGCTGCCTCTGGAGCGTGGTCACCGCCCTCTGCAGCTGGCTTCCCCAACCGCGTTTCCCCTCCCTTCCCCTCCGCCCTCGCTCCCGACGGACCCCTCAGCTGCCAAGAATCCCCCCGCGGTGGGCCCAGCGGCCAACAGCTTCCCTTAGGCCGCGACAGGAAATGTGTGCGGAGCGCTGCCAGGCCCTGTGCAGCCCTGATTTATTCTGGGGTCAGGAACACAGCTGGCGCCGGGGCACAGGGGACGCAGTCGACTAGAAGGTCAAACACCCTGCTTGGAGCAAGAGGAGAAAGTCGCCACTGGGATGAAGTGTGTGGTTTTCTCCGTTCAGGGAGTTTCATCAAGACCACAGAACCCATGACACGTAGGCGAACATCCGCAGGAAGGACTGGAGAAAGAAACTGGCTTATGATTATAAGACCACGCCCGCCTATTGTGTTTCTGTCCTGAGCTGTGGAGTTAGCGTCAGAATAATTCGTAGACGGCTCCAGCCTACAGGGACGCCTACGCCGGTGAGGGGAAAAAAATCTTGTGAAACAACTTAGCATCTCCTTTTGCCACCAGAGGCAGCACTGCCTAACCGCCTAACTCTATATGAGTCTCTGCTTCTCTGTTATGTCAAGAAATTTCAGGCGTGCTAGCTGCTAAATAATTTGCAGTTGTTTAAGTGTTTTAAATAGGAAATTCTGTTTCTTCCATCAGCAGTTGCCTTAGAAGTTTATTTTTCACTTCCACTTGTTTCTCCTTGAAATGGACCATATTGATTCATTGAAGAAAGGAAATGTGTTTCTAGGCCTAAATGAAAAATAATGGCCATACATCTTAACTGTTAGGTTGTTAGCTTTCCTTGCCACTATGTTGGTTCATAAATTCTTCAAGCTTATAGGTTACACATAAGTGAGTTCGTGGCCTTGTAAATATCTGAGAACAACTGCCCTATGAGTGATTTTAGCCTTGAACTATTTTAGTATCATTTTCTCCTATGACGGAGTGGCAATATTTATAATAGTAAGTTGTAAATGTCCACTTTAAGGACAATTAGAGTTCAACATCCTTAAGAAATTAAAATGTTTATTCCATTATAATGAATATTGTATACTGTCAAAAAAAAGCCTGTAATTTGAAAGATGGGTGAGCAAATTTCTTCAGAATTCCAACGGATGTTTTAAGATAAACATTTCAACTCAATGGGGAGTGGGAAGGCATTAAAGATTAATAAAGAAAGGTTAAAAACTGTACTGTTATGAAAGGATTTCTTGTTAGCAACTTAGACAATTCTGTATCAGTTTAGGAAATATATCATCTATCTTGGCTCATAGTGGCCAAATATGTTGCGATCAAAAATACATAAAGAGTTTCAGCTAAGCTCTCTTAGAGATGTCTGATGCTTTTTAAAATGTCTTTATTCAGAATGAAAGTTGCCATTCCATGAAGAATGCATATAAACTCACTTTGTTGTACGACATTCAGGTTGATGAGGGGTGGGAGGGAGGGTTTCAGGATCACATCTGTACCCTTCCATGTTATTTTTACCATAACTCTTGTTCTTCTTTCCTCCTAGCAATTCCATGTATTTACAATGGTAAACCCATGAGTCATCATCATACTGACCTTGCTTTTGCTGAGTGTAAAGTTTTGCCCTAGGATTTCTCTCCTGCCCTATTTCCTGATTTAAAGAACTTTCCTTAGTCCTTCTCTTCAGATGTCTGAGAATCACCTTAAACATGGCTCTGCATTTAAATTAGGTAACTTAATGTCTTATGAGAAAGAAACTTGAAAATCCAGAAATCGAATTGAATGGATTTTAAAAAACACTTGGTCACTTGGGCCAGCTGTCAATAGACCATTGCATTCTTATGACTGTGTTTGTAAATGTGTCCATGTAGTACGGTATTTTTAATAAAGCCTTTTTCAAACTTAAATAGTCGATAGAAATCTCATAGATATCTTTGAAAATCATCTGGGATGAAACAAGGTGTCTACAGTAAGAAAGAAAGAATAGCTGGAAAGCTTATGGTAAATACATGATCTCACTCCCTGACACCCTACCTAGGAAAGTGGGATTATGGCAGAGAACACATATTTCAGAGTACTGACCATGACCATGACCATATCATGGAATGACACAAGAGTTAGGAAAAATTAGCTTAACGTAGGACATAAATAGTTTTGTAATTATTTTGAAATATACAGTTTATCTGAACAAATTAGAAATGGAGGGAAGTTTCTATTTTTAAATAACATTCATTAAGATTATAATACAGAACCATTTTACCTCCACTGGATTCCAAATGCCTAAAAATCTTATAATACCAAATGTGACTCCATTGGCTCTTTTATGTGTTACAGATCGGAGCAACCATTCTGAAAAAATTTGATATTTTTTCACTAAAATGGAATATTTGCAAATTCTATACTCCAGCACTTCTATGATAAGGTATAAAATTAAAAGAAATTTTTGCACACGTGCAACAGAAGATACGTAAAAATGTTTATAATGACACTATTCATATTAACAAAACCCAGAATCAATCCAAACATCCAAAAGCAGTATATAAATAAACTGTAGTATATTCACTAAGTTACTATTATATAAAGAGTCAAAATGAGTACACTATAGTTGCAAGTGACAATATGAATTAATTTTAGAAAGACAATGCTAACGGACAGAAATTTCAAAAATTATACAGATCCTGACATTTTTATACAATTAAAAGAACAGTACTAGATATATGTTTGTGTATTATTTGGAAAAATAGTTACAATAAAATGAGATTTAAAAAAACAATAAACATAAGAATGTCAAGGAGTGAGACCATGTATTTACCATGTGGCTTTTTCACACTACCCAAATAATGGAATTTTTATTCCATTATTAAAAATAAATAATTAGTAATGAAGAAATAAATAAAAATGGGTATATCTGGATAAATAATAAGTGAATGACATGAAGCAGGAATTATAATTAACTTAATTCTGAGTGGTTGAGCTTCAAAATGAAAAATACAAAAATCCAAATGTGAATTACATTTAAAATATATCTTCAGTGTATTTTTCTTTAATCTCATGTTCTTTTGCAGCATTTCTAAATGTAATCCAATTGTTTATATGAAATAAATATTTCCCTATGGTTCTAGACTTTTCAGACAATCTGTTTATTATTAGTAAGAATCATGTGTGATATTTACTTGTTCATTCATTTATACAACACAACTCAAGGAATTAGAGAGAATATATAAGAAAAGTAAGATTAGCCCAACATTTTAAACTATTGATTTAAAATATTTGAAACAAAGATGGAGAAAGATAAATATTCACTAATAAAATACCAACTAATATTCATTTATAAAGTTGATCCTCATTCAATAAATTCTGTCATTGTTGAAGGAAAACACCTTCTGGATCTTAGTATATTTCTGAGTTCAGTTAAGACACATAAAAATACTTTAGAGGAAACTGAAAAGGAGACAACATTTCATTAGGGGAACATGGCACCCAGAAGGTAATCTACAGAGACTAAGAATTATGAAGATCCATAGCCTTTTAGAACTGGATTGCACTTTAGCAAAATAATCTTTTTAAAACATGTTTTTAACTGAGAGCATTTTAAATTCTATGTCTGAGTTTCTATGACTTCTTTGACTCTTAATAGATCATATAGTTTCATCTCCTAATAAATTCATACACACATGAATAGCAAAATTCATACACACACTTCTTTTAGGTGACATTGTACTTAACACATCTGCAAACATTTATGTAAAATCAGTTATTTTATAAATATATATTTCACAATTATAAGTACTCTAGCTTAGTTAATACTTATCAAGCATCCCTGGGAGGGTATGAGGCGCCCTGTAGCTAGAATCACAGAGGTCTGCGGGTGACAGTGGGCTGTCCCTTCATTCACCCCTTCCCTGGGAGCCACTCAGGGAACAGCTAGTGAACAACATAATAAAATTGTGACAAGAAATAACTTTAAAAAACATTAAACTTTCAGCTTTTACTCAAACTGCTCTCTGAACAGTCTTTGCTGACCAAATTCCATGCATCTTGGAAGAGATATAAGAAACTATTCTCTGGTGGACATTACAGAATTACTGTGCTCACTCAATGCCAAGTTTGTCATCAAGAAATAATGGAGAAATGACTTTGCAAACAAAAAGCTTATTATAATCCAATGCCTAACAAGTTCAAAACTATAAATACTATTTACCCACTATTAGATTTTTTTTTCAGAATTGTTTTCAATGCCAATTTGCAAGTCACACTTAAAAATCAATCTCAACATCTGGGGACGAGATGGCCAACTGTATATAGCCAGGAAGTACCACTCCCACTGACAGAGACCACAATTTTAAGTAAACCAACATAATTGGAATTAGCTCTAGAGAGAAAGTGCTGAGAGTGGATGGAGATGAGACACAGACACTGAGTCTGAAGAAGGAAGAAGCTGGGAGCCCTGCATGGCGTACCTGAATGCTAGGACTAGTTCCTACCCCAAACAGCTCCTGGGGAAGGGGCAAATAAAGGGACTGTTGGTCAGCCTACTGTCTGCAGACCTCTGGGATCGTAGCTACAGGGTACCCCATGTCCCCTCATGGATGTTTGAGCTAGCAGAGAGATCTGCCCTGAGAGTAGGCAGAGATGGGGCTTCAGCCAGTGTGGAGCCAGGAGCCTTTATAGCAGGGTAGCTCTGGTGGAGAGCGGTAACAGGTTTCTAACCTTCGGGGCTCCCTATCTCTCTCCCCAGTTGACCACTGGTCCAGGAGAAGGTGGGGGTGGCTTTTCCACAGGACTGGGGCACATTGGTTTCGCAGTTCCTACTGCCTTCCAGTCCCTCCCAGGGCCCCCACCTAGCTGCCCTGCAGAAGCATGTGCCCAATGCAGGCTCCTCCGCCCAGCCTGGGTGTTTTGCTCCACCTGAGTACATTCCTCGTGGCCTGGGAACATTTCAGATACCCTAGTGCACCCAGAACCCAAGCCTAAGGGTCCAGAGGATGGAGACCTAAGCCAGTCCTGGCTCCCCAGGGCTACCGCTCATAGTTCAGCAGTGCTGAACTAAGATCACTGGCCAGCATTCAAGTAGAGGAGAAGCCTACATTCTGACTGCTAAGAAGGGTCAGATGTGTGGGTTCTTAGACTGGCAAAGGAGCAAGGCATACCTCCCTTTGCAGGGACAGTCTGAAAAGGGTGTGGCCTCTCTCTCTGCCATGGCCTCTGCTAGAGGAATCCCTGTGGCTCAGAGCATGTAACAAAAGAAATGCGGGCATGGCATCAGTGATCAGAGGGAGCTCCCTAAGGCCTAGGAAAAGACCTGGTAGTGGAGTCACCTTTCTCCCAGCACACCCTGCACCGCAGACCGCTGATGCAAA